GTCTAACAACAGTGTACATGGAACTCCCAAGAATCCTTGGAACTTAAATACCTTCTTGGGACTCCTAGAAGGACTTGACACTGAGCTATCTCAAGCACGAGAGAGAGAACTGTGGGTGGATTCTGCAAGTTTTGCACACGAGAGGTTAAACATGAAATATGGATACAAATTTTTGACTGATATCTAAAAATATCAAATTTAGATATTCGAAGACTTCCTCCAACCATAACCGCATGCATAAATCGAAAATGGAGAAATTTACCTCTTAAATATTCTGCAAAGGCCAAAAAATTAAGTACTACGACTGTATTTAGGGTATGTGGGCGGTGTCTCCCCGAAAACGGCCAGGCCATATTACATCCGTATGCATTCGCATGCAAATGTTCCATTGCACTTAAGCTGCGCAGGAATGGCACAAAAGAGGCTTTTTTCACCTTGTACCAAAGCTGCACAGGAATGGCACAAACATGTCCCAGAGAGAGAGCGTAGCTTCATTTAAACCTATGAAACTAATTAACAGCAGTTGCATAAGAGTCAAGAGCCAATTTATATTTCTTCTGAGATTACAAGAAAATTACATAAACAAGAAAGGGACAAAAACCAATTCATGCATAATATGACGAAAGGGACATTTTCCTTTACATTTCAAAATGTTTCTGAAATAACGAGTTTTGTGCAGTATTCGTGCATAATATGGATTCTTTTGGTCATTTTGAAAAAAATTATGTAGGAAATGGAAGTTCAACAAAGAGAACAAAAATGAAATTATGTAAAAATAATCGTGAACTAACCTTGTCTTTAGCATCCCAAACTCTGACAGGTTTGTCAAACGATAATGCTGCATGGCCGGCCAAGCTAGGACTGAAGCAAACATCAGTAACAAATGATGAATATTTTTCAAGTGTACTTTTTGGCTTCAAATGATCAGTGCACCATAAACAGCCTGCACCATTTTACTAAAAAATTCATCATTTGCGTAAGCTAGAAACTTAATTTCAGCAACACTAGCCACACACTGTAAATTAGACTATGAGTACTTGGCTATACTTGAGAGTTACTTTTCTAGAAAGTCAATACTTATTTTCTAGAAAAATTTTGTTAGTTAAAAAATGTATAAGTAACTTAAAAGTACGTTTGACCCACTTTTAAGCACTGCCAAACATGCTCGATAAAATACTTGTAATTTTAATTTCATTATTCTATCAACTTTGTTGACACTCAACTCTCACCTTTTTTATTATGGTCACCACTGGCAAGAAGCTTACCATCTGATGAGAAGTGGCACCACTCGACTTTGTTCGCACTTCATGAACAGAACTGTAGTATATGTAAACCCTGAAGAGTGAAGAGCATGTGCTGCCAGCCAGAAAACTATGAAATATATAGTAGAGAAAAATATTGAAATTCAAGTTCATTCCCAAATCGAGTTCAAATGATAAATTCTTCTAACAGCTTGTGCTCTTTTTGGTTTTTACTCGTTGAATTACATTGGAATAATCAGCTGAGAGGGTAAACTAATTGAATTCAACAAGTTCTTCATAGCATAACATAAAAGATTTACATAGTGATATATCTGTTAATCTGCATTAATATTAGAATAAATCTAAAATCATCAATAGATATTCTCTACGAAGCAAGGGCACTCCTTGACACTATAAACATTTTTATT